GATTTAGTGAGGGTACTCTTCCTGTCCACAACTCATACAGTGTTTTGAGCACCGACTTACTTGGTACTCTATTGAGAATATGAATGACGGGTTTTAACGCCTCCATCCACAGGCTCAACGGTAAGGTGGAGTAACTTATCATACTACGCATCATATCCATCAGGGTACGGTTACACCTTTCAGCTACTCCATTCTGCTGATGTTCACCCGGTGTTGAATACTGGGCGACTATACCATTCTCCTGTAAGAACCTTGCAAAAGGTCCAGGAACTTGTCCATATGGGGTATGCCGACTGTAGTACTCCCCCCACAGTCAGACCTGACTATCTTAATCTTTAAATCATGCTGATTTTCAACTTCTGCCTTAAATATTTTGAATTTATCCAACGCTTCTGTCCTTTTTTCAATTGGATAAATATAGCCAAAACGAGAGTAATCGTCTGTGAATGTTATGAATGAATCATAACCATCCACACTTTTCACAGGAAAATGACCACATATGTCTGTGTGAATTATCTCTAAAATTCATGTGCTTCGTTTGGCATCCTTTTTAATTTTCTTTACATACTTTCCTTTAATACATTCTATACATTGCTCTAAGTCAGAGAACTCCAGTGGTGGAAGAATTTCATTCTTAACTAGTTTCTCTATTCCCCCCTCGAAATATGGCCTAAACGACAGTGCCATAATTTCGACGATACATTAGGAGTTCTCTTTCATTTTCTATTTGCATTGTTCGATGAGGATACTTTCTCATTCACATCACATACGGAATTCATAATTTTACGAAGTGATAACAAATAAAGCTCGTCTTGTCGGAAGGCAAGACCAATACATCTATTATTAAACAATATCTGACATTTGCCATTTCTAAAATGGCAATCATAACCATCATGGTCCAACTTTGAAACACTAATCAAGTTTCTTTGCAAAGAAGGTACATAAAGAACATCTCTAAGAAAAAGTATGAAGCCATCAGCAAGTTCTAGCGGAAGATCACCAATGGCCTCAACATCTGCTTGTACTCTATTTGCGACTTTAATGAAACTTTCACTTCTTTGCAAAGTTCTCATCGAACGGAATCCTTGTAAAGAATTAGCAACATGAATAGTTGCACCTGAATCAATCCACCAAGTAGATTTTAAAAACTTGACATACAAGGATTCATTTACAAACGTAATAATGTTCTCACCTTTCTTTTTCATAATCAACTTTAGGAAATCGGGACAATCTTTCTTGTAATGTCCCATCTTCTTGCAGTGGAGACATTGATCTTTATCCACTGAGAATTGCTTGTTCTGAGACTGTTGCATGGGACCCTTTCCAGGTGACTTGGAGGAAGAGCTGTTATTATAGTTCTTTTCTTATTATCTTTTAGGTAGTTGATAGTACCACCCTGTGAAACTTTTATTCTTTCCTCCTCCTACACACACATGGCTATGAGCTTTTCTAGATCCCATTTCTCGGGCTGTATATTGTAATTAACAACAAAAATGTCAAATTCTTTAGGCAAAGAAGCAAAAATCAAATGAATAAGAAACTCATCCTTAAGTGCCAAATCCATTGGTTTGAGCTTAGATGTCAAATTGCTCATTCTCAGTATGTGCTCTCTAATGCCACTGCCGCCACCAGAGTACCTTTCTGTCACCAGCTGCTTGATCAGCTGGGTTGTACATGTCTTTGAAGAGCCAGTGAACTGACTCTTTATTCTTTCTAGGTACTCTATCATCGTGTCATAGTCTGGAATTGAGCCCACTATTACAGGCTCAATTGTATTCTTTATCACAGCCAAACATTTATTATTGGCTGTGACCCACTTTCTATGTTCGAGGTCAAAAGACATCTTTATGGAAGCAAAGTCCCGCTCTCTATTCTGCCATGCAGCATCAGTCTCCCTCACCGGTGCCATAGGTTCTTTGGGACACGGTGTGGTGACTACCCAGTCAACCTCAGCCAAAATGAAGGCCAAGTCGATCTTTTTCTTCCATTCAATGTAGTTATCCCCTTTGAGAGTTGGGATATCTTTGATATAAGCCATCAAGGAGTATCCTCCTGAAAACACAATTTCTCTTTAAAATGAGAACATAATATAATAACAACAATTGCATGCTATGGTCAAAATTAAAACATATAATTTATCCTTTTACATTAATTCTACATCACTATTGGGCAGAAATAGAATTAATGTATGACAAAAAACCATAATAACATCATAATATTGCCATTAATCAACGTTTGTCAGAATAATAACAATATTATAATAATCTGATAACATGTCTATTTTTTAAAATTAAATTCTCCCGTTGGTTCGAATTTAATAATGAAAACAACAACTTTAAATATGCAGCGGAAACTTTGAATAAAATTTACATGATAATATTTTCCAGAAGCAACTTTACTTTTTACTGAACAAAAAATATCGTTGGATAAATTTTGTACAGAAATTATCATCAAAATTCAATTCAAATTCATCAAATATGAATCAAATCAGTTTCTGGAAAAAAGGAAAAATTGAATAAACTTATACTGTGCATTTGGCCCGGTCCAGCAGCAGTGCGCGTGGCCCAGCACCAAAAGCCGGTTCACGCAGACGTGCGCGGCGCCTCCCCCTCGCCCAGGCCGCAACCTGGGCTTGGGCCGGGAATTCCCTTTCCCACCTGGGCTTAAAACGGCCCGATGCGCTGCTGGCCGTCGATCGTCGATCGACGGTCCTCCTTTCATTTCGGCCGGATGAAACCCGCGACGGTCGCGGCTCCCCTAAACCCTAGCTCATTCTCTCCCTCCCCTTCTCTCTCATCACGCAGTGCCGCTCGGAGAAACAGCCGCAGCAGCAGCCGTCCTCGGTGGCCGAGGGAGAAGAAGAGGGGCTCCACCCAGCGCCCTCTCGCCGGCGTGCGTGCTCGCCTGAGGCTAAGCACGCCGCCGTCGAGGGGCCGCATGGTGGTGCCCTGTTGCCGTGACCGCGCGTGCGAGGTGCAGTGCGGCTCGTTGCTCTGTCCCGCGCGCCGTTCGGGAGCGAAGCCGTGGTCTCCTTTCCGCGCGGTGGCGATGCCGCCGGCGGTGAGGAAAGCCCAGGTAGGCTTCCTATCTTTAGGGTTAGGGTTTGGTTCTATTGGATCCGAATCGAATTCGAACTCCACTTTTTTCTTTTCATTCGTTTTTCTTTGCTTTTGATTCGGAAACCCTAGATCTACACCCTAGGCTGACGGACTGCTAGGGTTAGGATTCTTTGTTGAAACCGTGTCCACTTTTCCCGTACCCGATCTAGGGTTAGGGTTCGATTTGCTTTTCTTTCCCCGATCCAGATCTACGAACTAGACAGGCAACAGATACCATTGTTATATCCTTAAGATCATCTAGAGTAGAATCTAGTCGGGTGGTTCTTTGTATTTGGGATGAACAAGTAGAAAACCTAATGAACAGTACTACAGAGTGATAGAGAGAGGAGAGTGGATGGGAGTGTACAGACCATCGGAGGGCGCCGTCGAGGAGGATCTGGCCATCTCGTTCGGTCGGTGACGTTCTGCGCACGGGCAGCGATGGTCGGAGAAGAGTTGGTGAAGTCCGGCGACGCGGTGGCGGTGCAGTGAGGCCGACGGTGATGACGGTGGCAACTTCCCGCCGCTGGCTGCGCACCCTCTTCGAGATCGGACTTAGGGTTTGTTGGTGGGGCGGAGTGGCTCACGGTGAACCTCGTACTATGAGCCGCCGGCCCCCACCACTTTATATAGCGCAGTGCGACGGGGGCCTACCACCCATGTAGGGTTGGGCGCCCCCAATCAGGGCGCGTGACCAAGGCCCAATAGGCCGTTGGGCTTATTGGCTGGGAGATCATTCTAACAACTATCGGTTCAGTGGCTCCAACTGGCTGTAACCTTCATTTTCCCAATTTTACATTTGATATTATGTCGGCTCCACTGAAATGTCGGCTCTAGTACATGTACCTGCAGTTCTGTACGAGTAAATCCAAAGCAATATCACGCTTGAGTGGAGCCGCTGATTTTCACTCTTTAGTTAGTTGCAAATATATATGTAGTAGTGAATTGTTTGATACCAGTCATGTATGAAACTCAGCTTGTTCGGCTGCTAAAAAAAGCCATTCCTGCTGCAGCTATAGCTTTTTTTGCCTCTCCCAAATTCCTGTAGCCGAACAAGCTGACTGTTGGCGATGTCCTCAAAATTCGTCTGACTCGTCCAGGTTCAAATATCATGGATCGATGCATGGTTGGTAGAGTTGCTGATAGGAATTTGGTAATGCTCCATGAACTGTCTCCTCTTTTGCTAATTCTTCCTTGAAGATATTCAGCAAAGAAGCACTGCCGGTAGAGCTTAGAAGTTGCACCCATCAATGTATGTTTGACGTGACGAGTATGCTTAATTATGGTTCATCGCCCTAAATTTGTTGATCGTTTTGTTGCATGAGACACACACTTGCAAATCATAAGCTAGTAACACTTGAAAGAAATAACTTCTGCTCCACTTTTGTTTCTTTGGCAGTGTTTTCTCCTGTAACTTTCCATTTTGCTACCTGTTATATATACTGATGGACTTCATGGCTAGTAACACTTGAGACACACACTTGCAAATCATAAGCTAGTAACACTTGAAAGAAATAACTTCTGCTCCACTTTTGTTTCTTTGGCAGTGTTTTCTCCTGTAACTTTCCATTTTGCTACCTGTTATACTGATGGAGTTCATGGCATTAAAATATTTAGTAATCCGTTTGCCCAAATAGGGCTAATAAGTTCATCATCAAACAAGTAGAAGAAGAATAAGATAAATATAACCTAATGCATATCTTCTCTCATGTTCCTTGACCTTCACACAGCTGGAACTGTAAATACATATCCAACACAGCTATATCAAGAAACTACAAGGTTGACACACTACTATACTATATGTATTAATTGATCAATGGGAGATAGCTCATTTTTAATGATATTTTAATTGTTTGCCGAGCACTCTTGCGGCCTCCTTGCTGGTTAATCCAAAGTGGTGATTTAAGGCTGCAAATCAGGAATTGATGTGTTCTCTTGCAAAAACATAGCGTTGTTCACCTGGTTGCCTCCTTGCTGCAAATTAACTAATCCAAAGTATGTTCCAGCGGGACCCTTGGCCATGAGGGATGCATGTGTGCCTGTCTCCACAACAACTCCTTTCTCAAGCACAATAATCGTGTCGCAGTTTTGAATTGTGCTCAGCCTATGTGCCACCACTACACTTGTCCTGCCGACCAACATTCGGTCCAATGCTTCTTGGACCACCTTCTCAGACTGGCTGTCCAATGCACTAGTAGCTTCATCTAGTAGCAAGATAGCAGGGTTCTTCAATATTGCACGGGCGATTGCAATGCGTTGCTTCTGTCCTCCAGACAGTTGAACACCTTGCTCACCACACCTTGTCTCATATCCGTCCTTGAGGTTGCTAATGAAGTCATGTGCATTTGCTGACCTTGCCGCATTCTCAATTTCTTCCTCACTAGCTGCTTCTGTGCCATACACAATGTTCTCTCTAATGGTACCTGCAAATAGTGTTGGCTCTTGGCTGACTAGCCCAATGTGCTGTCGCAAGGAACGAAGATTGTATGCTTTGATGTCTTTACGATCGATCTCAACTGCCCCGCTAGTTGGGTCATAGAACCTCTCTATAAGCCCAATGATGGTTGATTTGCCTGAACCACTTTGCCCAACAAGTGCTGTTGACTTAGCTGGTTGGATGCTCAAGGAGAATCTCTTAAAGATGATCACATCTGGTCTTGATGGATATGCAAAATCAACTCCTCTAATGTCCACTTCACCTTTGAGCTTTTCTGGTTTGTATCCCTCAGGGCTGTCAGGATCCATTTCCGTTTCCCTGTCAAGAACGGCAAACACTGAAGCAACTGCATCAGCACCCTTAGCAAGATCTGCTGTCATACTACCTGCATCTGCTATCACCAATGTTGTGCTTATTAGAATTAGAAAGGTTTGGAAGAAGTCCTTTGCATTAATGTGGTGCCCAGCCAGGAGTATGCCAGTATACCAGAAGGTGAGTGCCCATGTGCATCTCAAAAGGCTTGTGGAGGTGCCGAGGCCAATACCTGCAAACCAGGACTGTCTTATGCTTTCCTTGCATGGACCTTCTTGTGCTTCGTCAAACAGGCGCATGATGCGGTTCTGGGATGAGAAAGCAGTTATGGTTCGAAGATTAGAGACGGCCTCAGCAGCTAGCTTACTACATTCGGCTTGTGCTTGTGTTGATTTCTCAGACATGCTCTTTAATAAGACATAGCGAGTATAATAGCAGATAATGCTAAATGGCTGCACTGCAATCATCAAAATTGCTAAACGCCAAGCAATCACCAGACCCATGATGTAGGCAGTTAGAACAGATGAAACTGTGTGGATCACTAGAGACATTCGATCACCCACAAGCGACCTCACCTGCAACACAAATGTTATGTCTAGTCAAGTATTATTCTCTTCTAAATATTACTAGCTTTATTTTGTACTTACAATGTTGGCATCAGTGGTAAGCCGTGAGCAAATGGAACTACTAGAGTTGTCATCATGGTCAAACCACCCAATCTCGAAAGTGAGAAATTTAGCGAGCATCTGTTCTCTGACCCTCTTGGTGAGGTATTCCCCCATGGAAGCAAAATTGTAGTGTTGCCCAATATTAACCATGAACGTGAGCACTGCAAGGCCGATGGAGATAAGTGCGTAGGTCCTTGTTTTCTCCTTGATCTCTTCATGATCTGTAGAGAAGTAGATCGAAATCATGCTGCCCATGAAATAGCAAAATGCAGGTTGTATGCCTCCAGAGACAACTGCACTAAAGCTCCCCAACAACCCCTGCTTCCACTCTGGTGCATTGAGCATTAGTAGCCTCTTGAAGGATGGCACAGGAAGCTTTGGATTCTCTATGTTACCATTGTCTTTTGTATCACCCATTGACCTTGTTGAGATCGACCTACTTGCTGCAGAGAAACCCCTACTTTGGTTGTTTGATTGCAACATGACATATGCATTTCTAGTCTCACAAACCTCGGTAGTCTCAGTTGGATCTCTGGTCTGTTGAAGGTGGACAAGAGTTGAGTAAAGGCCATTCTCATTGGCAATGAGCCCATCATGGGAGCCCAACTCGACCTCACCAGACTTCATGACAGCAATCAAATGAGCATTTCGTATGGTGGAGAGTCGATGTGCAATGATAATAGTAGTTCGGCCCATGGAGGCCAGGTCAAGTGCCTCCTGGACCGCATGCTCTGAATTAGTGTCTAATGCACTAGTAGCTTCATCAAGGAGGAGGATCTTGGGTGACTTTAAGATTGCTCTAGCAATAGCAATCCTTTGCTTCTGCCCTCCAGACATTTGGATACCACGCTCACCCACCTGTTTTTAGTATGTATTTCATTAGTGTCCAAGTAAAAAAAACTTATATTTCATTCAAAGGTCTAAGTTCTAAGGATTTGGACAATGTATACAAATAAAATGAACTTGTTTCATGTTGATCTAACACTTGTAACCATATGTAGTTTCTTGAAACAAAAAGGTTAACCGAAGTTTGTTGTGGTATGAATATAGAGAATTGACTTTGTTAATTACTTTAGCAATTTTGGCATGTTTGGTGCTAGCTAATTGACTCAACAAACTTTTGTTTGTACAACATTCTTTATTCCAATTAAAAACTTTTTTAATAGTAAGTGTGTACATTGCACGATACACGACTATTGAAAAATGGTCAAGACATCCCCTGGTTAGAAGAATATATATATTTGAAGTTTTGTGTTATAGACACATGTAAATTGACATGTCTGTTCAGTTTGTCTCTTGAAACTTTTGCTCAATGGTATATTGTTTTAACGAGTTATTGCATATTTAATTTATATGCATTTACCTTCCCGTTGTCGTGAACTGAATACATAAGTTTTCAAGGGCCCGCATATGCCTTCTTTATCTTTTTCAATGATTAAAACATCAATAAATTAAGCATCTTGGCTCAATATGTGATTGTTTGAACTTTGAAGTGATCATTCTACTCAATAAGTGTGTGCTTTTGTTACAATCGAAAGATGCTAAGGTTACCCATCTTTAAAGATGATAAGGTTACTCAATAAGTGTGTACTTTGGCTCAATATACCAGATAGGTCTCGTCATCTTCTTTGTGAACATTCTAACCTTTTGTGTGCATTATTTACGCATAGCTTGCAATAATATTGACTTCAATGCAACTACTCTTCTTGTTTATTTGTAATTTTTCTTTGATATTTATTATCCTTTATCGACATTGATGTTTGGCTACATGGCGAACCACATTAACATTATAGTTTTAAGTATAAAGTCTAAATTACTATAGCAAGTAAGACTTGTGTTTTGATAACCTCTATAATAATTTTCAATTCAAATTACCGTCAACTATTTTAATAGGCAATAAAAATAGATTTGAAAGGTTGTGATACACCTATAGATCTGTATTTGGATAGGAGTGCTTCTGAAGCACATACTGACGTGCCCAAACCGTGACTAGGGGCTCATAATGAATTTCAACTCTAGCCAACCTAACTTTCTTGGGAGTGAAAGGCTTCGTTGTTATTGTTGGACCTATTAATGAGATTTATACTTTTCATTTATCCACCTACCAATTGATTTTTAAGTTAAATTAAGGGTCACGGCGGACATCATAACTTACGTTGAAAAAATAAATTATAGACTTTTAGTCATTAGTTTGATAGGTTAGGACATCAATTATAAATTAATACAAGAGATACAAAATTTATGAATAATGATTACGAAAAATACATTCTACTTTTCTAACTTAACTTATGATATGTCCGCTATCACCCTACACAATTTTTACTTAAAACTCAACTTAGTATATGTGGAGAAACAAAAAAGAAAAGAAAAAAAATCTTATAATGCTTTGGCTTTTCGTAAAGTAGTTTTTTTATAAAAAAGGAGAAAGCGCTAGTGCAATAAGGAGAAGATGCTACCTGCGTGTCGTATCCCCGCGGCAACTGCGAGATGAAGCTGTGGGCGTTGGCCGACTTCGCCGCGGCGACGACCTCCTCCTCCGTTGCGTCCTCCTTGCCGAGCAGGATGTTCTCCCTGATCGACGTCGCGAACAGCGCCGGCTCCTGGCTGACGAGACCCATCTGCGCGCGCAGCCACTTGAGCCGCAGCCGCCGGATGTCCACGCCGTCCAGGGTCACCTCCCCAGCCAACGGGTCGTAGAATCGCTCAAGCAGCGCGATCACCGTCGACTTCCCTGACCCACTGTCGCCCACCAGCGCCACCATGCGCCCGGCCGGCACGTGCAGGCTGAAGTTGACGAAGATGGGGCTCATGGGTCGCGACGGGTAGCAGAACTCCACGTTCCTGAACTCGACCTCGCCGGTGACGTTGTCCAGCACATCGCCGGCGCCACTTTCTGAGTCTATCTTGGGCACCCGCCTGATCAGCTCCATGATCCTCTCTGCCGCAGCGCTCGCCTCCGACAAGTACTTGATGTTTGACAGGGCCGTCCCCAGTGCTCTGCGTGGTTCAATCGTCAATGGTGTAGGCGTCTAGTAAGTATCATCGAAACAGAATTTACAGCTAGCTTCACCGACGTACCCGCCTCCGAATACGATGACGAGGGCGACGTTGTAGACGGTGCCGCCCTTGTAGCCGTTGTACATGACGAGGCGGCTGCCGTACCAAACGGTGAAGGCCAAGATGGCGATGCGGATGCCACCGCTGCCGAGGGCAAGGCCCTTGGCGAGCCCCTGCTTGAGCCCGAGCCGCACCGACTCGTCCAGCGCCGCGGCGAACCGCGCCGCGGTGGACCTCTCGGCGACGAACGAGTACACGGTGCGCACCGACGAGACGGCCTGCTCGGCGATGGCGCCCGGGCGCGTGTACAGCTCCCTGATCCGGCGCGCCAGGCTGATCTGGACGCGGCTGTAGAGGAAGCCGGGGATGATGAGCAGCAGCACGGATGGGAGCGCCACCAGCGTGAGCCGCCACATCAGGAGGAACGCGACGGCGTAGCTGGCCAAGAACGTGGTGACGTTCATCACGAAGTTGGGCAGCTTCTCGCTCAGCACGTCCTGCACGGCGAGGCTGTCGTTGGAGACGCTGGTGATCACCTCCGACGTGGATCCCGCCTTGAGGTCGAAGTACTCCACGTCCTGCCGGAGCACCGCCCGCAGGTATCGCAGCCGCATCCGCGACGCCTGCCGCTCCGCCGTCCGCGTCCAGCAGTACCCCTCTGCACGAAGAAGAGCGGCAAATCTACGGTGTGAGAGGCTGAGAGCCAGCAGCCGGCCGGACCATTGGCGGCATGTATGCATGCGCTGTGCACGCTCACCTAGGAACGCCGTGATCCCGTGTGCGGCAGCCAAGTAGAGGGTATACCTCACGTTCTGATCATAGAGACCCGGTGGATGCGTCAGTGTAACATTGCCTGCTAGGATTTGTACGGAGATCAGAGATGGAACTAACTCGACCGCACCTCATTCATCTTGGGGACGAACTGCTGGAGATGATCAGGGCCGCTGCCGGCGTCGTCGAAGACGCGGCTGGTGATGGCCAGCATCACCGGCGTGGACATGCCGTCGCCGATGGCGCCCACCAGGCCCACCACCATCAGCGCAACGTCCACTGCATCTGCGTGCTTGAACACCATCGCGAACGTCCTCAACATCGGCGGCGCCGTCTTCGTCTCCACGGACTGCGGAGACCCGTCCTCACCCATTTGTCAGCAGGGCATGCTGCACATCATGTGAATTCTATATTGCTTCTCATTACCGATCTTTTCAAAGAGCACCATTATATTGGTGAGTGGGGCGCCGGGCGCGTGGGGCCCGCGTGACTCCACGACTCCACGTCTCCAACCATATGATTGCAATCCAGGTGTTGTGAAGGAAATAAGACAATCAGTGCGTCTGTTCGGCTTTCCCACTGCGTCACTCGGTGTTCGTCACCAACACTCGTCATCGTTCGTCACCACGACACCACCCCTTGCCATCCATCATCGCCTCTCGTCGGCGTTGCCATCAGTCTCCGTTTCGTCACCATCACTTGGCGTTCATCGCCGAAACTTGTCATCGTTCATCACCGTTCCTCGCCATTCCCTGGCATCACTTCACATCATAAGCGTTCCCTTGTTAGAGTGTAAGCCCATGGGCCATGGGCTTGACGACCCAGGCTCCCCATCTTGCCTATATGTACTCAATGATTGTCACTAATCGGTGTTAATCGAGCATTATCAAAACCTTAATATATACTCTCTCATTGTATCAACGAGACAGTTCGCTCCTTGACCTTTCCTCGCTTCTGCAAACCCTACTGCCGCCGCTGAGCCCCTCGTTGGCCAATTCGCCATCGCTGAGTCCTCTCGTCGGCGTCTGCCTCCTCCTACTGTCCGATCTCGCCGACCGCATGCGCATCTTCTTCCGCGCCGCCGCCACAGAGATCACGACGGGTCTCCATGGCGCTGGCCGATCCCGACGCCGCTGCCGCCGAACAGCTATGCCTCCAGCGCCGAAGCCAAGGCCACCGTCGATCGCGCCACCGCTCTTGACGCGTATGGGGCCAAGCGCCGCCATGCACGCGTAGGCCCTCGCCGTCCTCAACATCAAGGTGCTTGTCCCCATGGCGTTGGATCGCGCCACCAACAACTAGAGTCGGCGGCACACCCTCTTCCTCGTCGTCCTTGGCAAGTACGCCCTCATAGATCACGTCCTCTCCGATGAAGCCAACCCCGACCGCTCGGCGTGGGTGCAGATGGACTGCACTGTCGTCACCTGGATCTACGACACCATCACCGGCGATCTTCAACAGATGGTAATGCTTCTCAACCCGAACGCCCACATCACCTGGTCGGTCCTCGAATATGAGTTTCTTGGCCAGCGCGAATCACATACCCTCCTCTCCGCCGAGTTCCGCACGATCAAGCAGGGGGTGATGTCCATCACCGACTTTTGTCGTCAACTTGAGACGATGGACAGCGCCCTCACTGAGAGGATCCCGACGGCGATCGCACCCTCGTGCTGACACTCCTTCGCGGGCTCAACGGGATCGAAGTTTTGTCATATGGTTTCTAACATGAAGATTGAGTGCCTTCCCAACCTTTGAGGAGGTCCGCACCCTGCACCTCCTCGAAGAGATCGACATCGCCGCCACCGCCAAGGATGCTCCACCGCTTGCTTTCGTCGCTGCGCCTCCTGATCCCCAACGCCCACCAGGCAGATCCGTTGGTGGCAGTCCTGGCGGTGTTTCTAGTGGGGTGCTCGGTGGCTCGGGCGACAATCCTAACTGTGGTTCCCACCAGCATTCCACCAACCATCGCCGCGGGCATGGCAAAAAATCCGCTGCTCCTGGTACCGATGGTTATAGCTCTGGAGGAACCCGTCCTAGCGCCACTCCTCTGCTCACCCCGATCCCTAACCCTTGGGCAGGCACTGTGCAGCTGTGGCCCCACCCCTACGGCCCTAGTGCTCCATCTGGGTTGGTGTCACATCGTCCGTTCTCGCCGTTTGAGCCATAGGCAGCATTCACCACAGTACCCCAGCAATTGCTGTCCAACTACGCGCCACAGCAGGGCCTCGACGCCCACCTCGGTTCTCCCCCATGCTTTGCCTATGGGGGCTTGCCCACCTTGACGCTTGCTTACGTCACTGCACCTCCCCAACAGCCACCCCATCCCTCCTAGACGCCAATGGTGGGCGGCTCCTTGGATCAGGGGTCATTGATCAACAACTTCAACACCATGTCCATGACCGCCATCTTCCGCTGAGTGGTACACTGATTCGGTGGCTGGCTCTCACATGGCTAACAGTCCTGGTATACTCACTTCCTCCCACCCCCCTTCTTCATTTGGTCCTTCATCTATCATTGTCGGGAACGAGGCCTAGCTTCCTGTTACCTCTGTTGGGTCATCCTCCTTTTCGAAGCGACAACGATCCCTCGTTCTTTCTAATGTTTTAGTCGCACCTAGCATTATTAAGAACTTAATTTCCATTCGTCACTTTACCACTGATAACAATTGTTCTATTGAGTTTGACCCATTTGGCCTCTCTATGAAGGACCTTCAAACTCAGAGCGTGATTGCCAGGTGCAATATTATGTGCGACCTCTACCTATTCTTTCCACTAGTAGCCAGCACTCCCACCCTCACCGCCATACTGTCCTCCACCACTCTTTGGCACCGCCGTCTCGGTCATACCGGTCACAAGTCCTTGTCCAAGCTTGCCAGTTCCAATGATATTTCTTGTAATAAACGCACCTTTGATCATATATGTCATGCCTGTCAGTTAGGTCGTCATCTACGCCTTCCTTTTAGCATGTCAAATACTCATGTGTGTAAACCTTTTGATTTAATACATTGTGATCTTTGGACATCTCCTGTTGCCAGTGTGTCGGATTACAAGTACTACCTTGTCACCCAAGCCATCACCCCTTCTCCCTAAGTTGACTCTAGCCATCTCAACAACACATTCTCGTGTGCCATATAGGCCTACTGCTTGATACAACCTTTGTGTGACCGTGTCCTACTCAACACACCTCGCTTAGTGTCTCTCATGCTCTCCTAGCCTACATACTCATCACGCCTACCCAAACCTCAAGCCACCGGCCTCCTCAACAATGAGTCCACCCTGGCATCCTCCTCGTGCGCTCTACATGCCTGCTGCTCGGTAGAACCCTAACATTCACCCCAACGATCTACTCATGAACACACTTCCACTAGAGCCTGAGATGCCACCCACATTGTTTTATCCTCACAATGATCCTCGTCACCGTGATCACTTCATCACTCACCTTTAGTGAGTAAGTATAGGCCAAATTTAGACAAATAGATATGTTGAATCTCGATCAATGCCAGAAATCATTTGTAGAAATGGATGAATGGATGGAGGTCTTATTAACTGAGGACGAAATTGAGTTAGTGTATTAATTTTTGTATGGATATATGCATGATGAATTGACATAGTGGTATGTTCTTTGACATGTAGTACCATATTCTTATTTGCCAATGATGACTACCTTGGTACTTAACTTTGATGATTGCAGTCACAAGTTTGACCATAAAGCAAATGATAAAACATGACACCATGATTACTTTGATGCTCATTTGATTCCTATCTTCAAATAAACCCATGTGTTGTGTTGTTACAAAGTCATGAAGCAATATCATACCTGCCACTAATAGAAAAAGTCTCTCTAGATAAAACACTTAATTATACTATGAAAAGCCACTTAAAATTGACAAGATATTGTTTTGCTGTTGTCCTCATAGTACTGGAGAACACACGCAAATGCAACCTCTACTTCACAAGATACATAATGTGTCAAACCTGAAAACTTATATAAATATCTTAATTTCTAAAATAAAAGGCAACCAATTAATGGGCTACACGCCATTGATTCTTCCTAGGTCAGCCTTTTCTTCTAAATGTTCAAGAAATTATAATTTTGGTGGACAAAAGCGAGGTCAAGTGTAGAGCCACTCTAGTTAGATGGCTAGAGGGTTCATTCATAATCTGCAAGGAATGGGATCTGATGATGATGATTGAGGCAATATAACCCATACAATTAATATTCAAATGTTTGTTTCTTGCAATATCTGGATGTAGTGAAAAGAGCATTTGGATCTTAGTTGTGGGTGGTAAAAATATAAGGTAGTGAAAAGGCACAATTGGTGAGGCGGTGGAGCCATGTGGTGTGGTGCATGACTACTCCACACCATGATTCAGATCTTGGTGTTTACTTATTTCGATACATGTGAGTTTATTGGTTTATTGTGCATCCCTGTGGTGTAGTCTAAAAATTATATACTCCATTCAGAAAGGTATTGGTCATTTTTTAACACAAATATACAAGGGCTAAAAACCAAATGAGCTTGGTATCCTTTATTTATTTGTGCTATAAAAAAATTAAGTAAAGACAAGGAAGGGAAAAAAATACAAAAATGGTGAGAATGATTGAAGAGGCTAAAACGACCCGCACTTGCAATCGAAAGGGGCAATAATTGATTTGACTGTGGAGTTAACGATCGATATTTGTGTCCTGTGGCAACAGCGAGCAAGTGCTTGTCATTGTTTGAGATGACGTTGTTTTCACGCTCATATTAGCACTATCTCTACCGTCCGTTAGCACTGAGGCAATTGATAATAGCCTTTTAATTCACAGATGAGAGGGAAAGGTGACCAGAGGAATCAAATGACACCGATGTGACTAGTTACCGTACTACCCACTAGTAGACACTAGCTAGTGCCAACGAGTTATGCACGTTTAATTGTTTTCATTGGTTTATTTATAGATGATGGGGCCTCTAAGGTGCCCACGAATTATGCACCTTTAGTTGTTTCCATTGGTCTATATTTATAGATAGATGTGTGATATATAAAGAGATGGGAAAACGGGGACTGTTTTTTTTTTAAAAGGAACTTTTATTTTTTTTTATTACACAGTACAACGCAGACACTCACAACATACGCACACTCACCCCCTATGAACGCCCACACGCAAACCCTACACCTATAAGTATCTTTGAATACTGGGCTGACAAATCCTCAAGGTTGACCCTGTCTGTACAATATTGCTAGATTCAAAGATGTTACCATACCAAGAGTCTTTAGAACCTCACTTATTAATCTTTCATGGCGCAGAGATCTCATAGGTCATGAGTTAGTAGAATAGAACGTTTTACTTTCACGCATTACTAACATCGTGCCATCTCAAATGGAAGACAAATTTATCAGCAACCTACTCCTACATCAAAATAGAAGAATGTTTTCATTATTATTTTTTGATCAGGATGAATAATGAATTAATAGATGTGAGTCTACTGCCCTCAAATGTAAGAGATATATGATTACCCAAGGAATCAGAGGACTTCATGGTCGATGAGGATGACTATATGTTGCTCCAGCATAATAAAATCACTGGCATCAGTCGCCCAACGCCTGTATGTTTTTTTAGTCATAGTTTGTTGTCCTATTCCAATTTTCTTGGGCCTGTTTAAGAAGACTGCTGCTCCTGTTGTCTTCTTGCAGGGGTTATATCGTCTGACTGTGTTCACTCCCAATAATGTGTACTATTTCTTATATGTTAGATTTTTTTCTTGAGTTTTTACATTAGTTGAATGGTAAAATAGGTTGATTTACCATTTTCTTAGGTAGAGATATATCTAGAAAAAGTTAAGTCAGTATTTGGTACAGAATTTCTCATGCTTCTTCTTTCAAAATGTTTATTGGAATGCTACTATGGGAAAAAATCAACTTTTATATGTTCATATCTCAGAGAATTTATCTTTTGCACGCCACAAATAATAGATGTATATATGTTCTACAGGGAACAAAACCAATAATGCCACCTCGCTCTGCCTAGCCCACGGCAATTGCCGTGGGGGTTCCTGCTAGTTTTAATGGTTTGCCGAGCATTCTTGATTATTTGTTAATACAAAGTGGAAAATCAATAGGGTTACAAATCTGGAGCTAATGTGTGTTTTCATGCAAATTGTTGCCTGTAGCACCTGATTTTAAGAACAAAACCAGATACACACCATATGTGAGTCTAGGAAGTCAAATATTACATATGGCTACAAATAGAGGTAATATCAATACACAATGCTTAATATATAACATATTAGTACAAAGAAGATAACCTTAGGCACAAACAACAGATAGACAACTCCGATCTTCAGACGAGAACTCCAACTCTAAAGGGACAACTGACTGGTTGATCAAAAGCCTAACTCCTCCTGACTCTAGCAATCTGGTACCCATCCAGGATTTTTATCCAAGTAGTGAAAATAAACAAGCATAAGTACATCTTGTACTCAACAAGAATAACATGGGGTTCATGAGGCTCAAAAAGATAGACACTGATTTAACTGCAATTAGCTTTTAATAAGTCATAGTTTTAAGCAATTGAGTAGCAACAAGTTTATCACAAACCCATATAAATACATGATCAGGTAAACATGAATAATGACTAGTATAAACAAATACTCATTAGTGATCATCTATTCCATAAGGGTCCAAGGTCGCTCGTGACCGTGAGCACGGCTAATATACTAGTTTTACACTCTGCAGAGGTTGTACACACCATGAGTCGTGTTGCCCATATGTCCGGATTAATTACTCCCAAAATACTTCCAAGGTGAGCAGGCAGGGTACACTATGAAGCCTTTCAAAAGTTCGTCTAACAAGTTAGGGCCACTAGGTTTCAGTGGCAGGCAAGTATAGAGCCCCCTTTAAAGTGGCACACTAACGCAGAAGTACTCAAAATAACACAGGCCACACTATACCCAACGTGTCAGACGTCTTTTGCGCCACAAAGGTAACCACTGACAAGTTAGAAAATATCTTCATACTTGACTAAAACTAGACCCATGTAGCTCTCACGGTTGTACTGTAAGTCCTGGATTTTCGCTTACAAATAAGTCCTTAAGGAGAGAAATCTAGAGCATCACAAAAACTATGCTCTAGCCCCCTTGTTCCTTGTTACTAAAAATCATCTTTTAATGTTTATTGCGTAATCCATTAATCAAGTTACAAGATCATGGCCTTTCATTGAGCACTAGCATCACTACCCAATGCAATAATCCCATAGGTGTCAAGGTACGAGTACAAAGCTAGGAAATCCTTAGTGGTAATCAAGGTAGACACATGCAGTATGATTTAAGTGATTAAAGGTGTATAGGATGACAAGGATGATCACATGCTATACTTGTCTTTCACTTGCTTTACAACTAATAGTCAACTCCTCGTAGAACCTTTGATCTTCTGTTCTTTCGGTCTCCCACGCTTATGGACAGCTCTTCTACTCGCAGATCGTAGCATACCAACAAACATACAAGCAAACAAATAGGAACAACTAAGAACAATACACCATACAAGATAAAACAACGCACTAAAAGAGAGCTAGATGCTATGGTCACGAGATCACAAGAAACGCCGATAACGGAACTATCGTTAAAAAGAAACAACCACCAAAAGATTTATATTATAAAAGAATCAACTACAAGCTTGATTTATTTTAATTGAGTAAAACCATGTGAAATATATTAATTCAGATTATTCACTACGCATTTTAATTGAAAGACCGAGCTAAATCTAGTCATGTTTTAATTACAAATATTTCAATATTTTTTATATGCCGATTATACTTTAACTTGAAAAAACAAAATAACAAGTGAGAGCATCTAATGGCGTGTAGCATGTGTTTACACTGAGTACAATTAAAAACCTATTTAAGTTAATAATTAATCAAATTAACATGTTATGTATAATCATCGGGATATAAAACCTATATTACTTTTAATTATAAAACCAATTACAAGCATATTAATCAATTTAATATTTAGCTATATATAGAAAAACATGCGACATGAAAAACATTAGTACTACTGCATAGGACGCGCGCCGACATGAAACTAACGCAACTTAAAATACTCGAAACAGAGATTAAACGATTAAACGGCAAATTAACGAATCAGTGGCAGACTCGTAAATAATTCGTAGGGAGGTCTGTACGTACAGAACATGGAACTTTGGCCTGCATGTGCCTGGTGAACGTGAATAGGGATGTCCAGTTTCCTGGCCATTGGACTCGCAGGCGGCAGACGACGCTGGCTTCTTCACCGTCTCGGGCGTGGGGATCACGCAAAATCCCGGAATAATCGGAGCCAGGCGGTACGTGACGTTTCCTCGGATGTGAGTCCGTCTCGGTTATGTGAGGAAGGAGTGAGGGAGGTTTTCCATTTTATTTTGTTTTTCTTTTATTCAAAGCATTTTCAAAATCATTTTCAAAAGCAGTTTAAATCATTTTGAATTTTGGTCAAAACCACTCATCACAAAAATACAAATGCACCAGCATGTATGCACAACAATATTGCTAAACCTTATGATGAATTTTATTTAATAAAAAAATTCCTTTCTTTTCATGAGCACAAAAATATAAAATTAAATCAATTTATATCTATTTCAAAAATAGCAATTTTTAGGGTGTTACATTGCTTCCTTGCTGCATATTAACTAATCCAAAACATGTTCCAACAGGACCCATGGCCATGAGGCTAGGGATGCATGTGTGCCTGTCTCCACAGCAACTCCTTTATCAAGCACAATAATCAGGTCGCAGTTCCGAATAGTGCTCAACTTGTGTGCCACCACTACACTTGTCCTTCAGACCAACATTCGGTCCAATGCCTCTTGGACCACCTTCTCAGACTGGTTGTCTAATGCACTAGTAGCTTCATCTAAGAGCAAGATAGCAGGGTTCTTCAATATTGCACGGGCGATTGCAATGCGCTGCTTCTGCCCTCCTGACAGTTGAACACCTTGCTCACCACACCTTGTCTCGTATCCATCCTTGAGGTTGCTAATGAAGTCATGTGCATTTGCTGACCTTGCCGCATTCTCAATTTCTTCTTCACTAGCTGCTTCTTTGCCGTACACAATGTTCTCCCTAATGGTACCTGCAAATAGTGTTGGCTCTTGGCTGACCAGTCCAATATGTCGTCGCAAGGCACGAAGATTGTATGTTTTGATGTCTTTAAGGTCAATCTCTACTACCCCGCTAGTTTGGGTCATAGAACCTCTCTATAAGTCCAATGATAGTTGACTTTCCAGAACCACTTTGCCCAACAAGTGCCGTTGACTTGCCTGGTTGGATGCTCAAGGAGAAACCTTTGAAGATGATCACATCCGGTCTTGATGGATATGCAAAATCAACTCCTCTAATGTGCACCTCACCTTTGAGCTTCTCTGGTTTATATCCCTCAGGGCTGTCAGGATCCATTTTTGTTTCTCAGTGAAGAATGGCAAACACTGAAGCAATTGCATCAGCACTCTTAGCAAGATCTGTTGTAACACTACCTGCTTCTGCAATCACACGTCCTGTGGTTAATAAAATCAAGAAGGTTTGGAAGAAGGCCTTTGCTGTAATATGGTGCCCAGCCATGAGCATGCCACTATACCACAAGGTGAGTGCCCACGTGCATTTCAAATGGCCCATGGAGGTGCCAAGGATGATGCCTGCAAACCAGGACTGTCGGATGCTTTCCTTGCGTGGACCATCTTGTGCTTGGTCAAAGAGGCACAAGACATGGTTCTGGGATGAGAAAGCAGTTATGGTCCGAAGATTAGAGACAGCCTCAGCAGCTAGCTTACTACATTTATCTTGTGCGTGCATTGATTTCTTGGACATGCTCTTCAGTAAAACATGGCGGGCATAAAAGCAAACAATGCTAATGGGTTGTAATGCTATCATGACGAGGGCCATACGCCAAGCTATAACCAGACCCATGATGTAGGCAGTTACAACTGCAGAAACTGTCTGGATGACTAGAGACATTCGATCACCCAGGAGTGACCTCACCTACAATACAAATATTATATCTGGTCAGTAATATCATTTTCTAAATATTTACAAGATTTATTTGTACTTACAATGTTGTAGTCTCCAGTAAGTTGTGAGCGTATGGAACCACTAGAATTCTTATCATGGTCAAACCACCCAATCTCGAAAGTGAGAAATTTTGCAAGCATTTGTTCTCTGACCCTCTTTGTTAGGAATTCCCCCATGGAAGCAAAGTTATAATGTTGCCCAATACTAGTTAAGAATGAAAGAATTGCAAGGCTGATGGAAATAAGTGCAAAAGTCCTTGTTTTCTCCTTGATCTCTTCATGATTTGTTGAGAAGTAGACAAATATCATGCTTCCAATGGAATATGCAAATATTGGTTGTATGCCTCCAAACACAATTGCACTGAAGCTTCCTATCAACGCCTGCTTCCACTCTGGTGCATTAAGCATAAGTATTGTCATAAAGGATGGAACAGGAAGGTTTGAATTATCTTTGTTATCATCATGTTTTGTATCACAAATTGACCATGTTGAGCTTGTCCTACTAGCTGTTAAGAAATCTCTGCTCATACTTTGGCTTGCAATTCCGCCAACCTTGTTGGTGTCTGTTAAATCTCTGGTCTGCTGAAGGTGGACAAGAGATGAATAGAGGCCATTCTCATTGGTAATGAGATCATCATGTGATCCCATCTCCTTAACCCCACCATTCTGCATGACAACAATTATATCGACATTTCGGACAGTGGAGAGACGATGTGCGACAACAATAGTAGTTTGTCCCATGGAGGCTAACTCAAGCGCCTCATGCACAACACGTTCTGATTTCGTGTCTAGTGCACTAGTGGCTTCATCAAGAAGAAGGATCTTAGGTGATTTTAGGATTGCTCTGGCAATAGCAATCCTTTGCTTCTGTCCTCCAGATATTTGGATACCACGCTCACCCACCTGTTTTTGGTCTATATATGGTTTGTATCCAAGTAAGAACAACAACTTATATTCGACATAACAAGTCTAGTTCAATGGTCTTTGATTTGGACAGATATCAACAAATTAGAATGAACTTTGTCAGTTTGGTCCAAAACAAGTGTTATAATTGAAAGTGCATTTGATAAGCAAATACTTGTCAGTTTGGTTGTCCGAGGCAACACTTTCCACGAAATAGCCGTACTCATTGCTTCTCAGTAGAATGGCAGTGGTTTTATACTGTTCGAGAATCTATGGTACAATTCGTAGGAGCAAAGTATGTTGCTCCAATAGAGCTAAAATGACAACTACAATAGGATAGGAGGGAGTCATGGTAGACAAGCTTTCTGTCATGTATACTAACAGTTTGGTAGGATGAGATCAGATAGTTTTTCAATTAGATGCTATGTATTACATGGATATCTGAGATACCAAAATACTAAAAAGTACCAAAGCTAACAATGACCGTAGGTACATTCATGTCTGGTATATTCCTCTGGGCAGTAGAACACTGGATGTTAGCACAAGTCCATATTTTCATGAAAATCTTAGTTATAGGCCTACTCTTTTTAAGTAAACTCGGATATATTCTTAAGTAGTTTGTCGTGGTGCAATTTCAAGCTGCAGAGAGAGTAGTCATTACTTCAAGAAACCATTTTAATCTAACATCAAGCTCCCTAAAGCATTTGCAATTGTACAGCATGAACCATCGATTCAAAAACTCACATAGAGACGAGCTCCGTCAAATTGAAGAGAGCCAGCGGGATCTCCGTGATATTCCTGTACCCAGTCACATTCCTGCACCATCCGGAGATTCCAGACCCACACATCAATCCCAGGTACACATAGGCATCAGCATCAAATGGGAGAAAGAGTGAAGACGACGCACAGGCCCGTGATTCGGCACCGGCTGATGGCGGGGCAATTGCAGTCGATAGACGCGTTTATTTCGAACGACCCGGACCAGACGCGCTTCATGCACGGGTCCTCCGCCGCCGCCTCCCCCTCCAGTCGCCACTGCCGGAACACAGCGTGCAGGGCATCCGCTGCAGGAACGCGAGATCCACGAGTTACTAGCTGCCAACTTTCTCGTCGCCATTACACAACCTCAGACACCACGGAAGGAGCGAGAAATCGATACCGTCGGAGGGATCGGTGGGCGGGAAGGGCTGTTGGCCCTGCGCCGCGTCCAGGGTGAGGAGCGCGAGGACGAGGAGAAAGCCGGCGACGAGAGCAGAGGCGGAACGAGCCATGGGGGCCGGCGTGGGGTGCGGCGGCCGCAGGCGGAGTTGACTTGCGCGCAGGAGCAGGCGGGCACAGGGGGCGGCCCAGGCGCGCAGCGCCTCCCCTCCCCGTGCGCGCGCCGGGGCCGCGCCCGTGCCGCCTGTGCCCTGCATGCACAAGTCAACTCCCGCCTGCGGCCGCCGCGCCACACGTAGGCCCCCATGGCTCGTTCCGCCTCCGCTCTCGTCGCCGGCTTTCTCCTCGTCCTCGCGCTCCTCACCCTGGACGCGGCGCAGGGCCAACAGCCCTTCCCGTCCACCGATCCCTCCGACGGTATCGATTTCTCGCTCCTTCCGTGGTGTCTGAGGTTGTGTAATGGCGACGAGAAAGTTGGCAGCTAGTAACTCGTGGATCTCGCGTTCCTGCAGCGGATGCCCTGCACGCTGTGTTCCGGCAGTGGCGACTGGAGGGGGAGGCGGCGGCGGAGGACCCGTGCATGAAGCGCGTCTGGTCCGGGTCGTTCGAAATAAACGCGTCTATCTGATATCACATGTGGAGATGTCCTGGTTTATAAGCATCGTACGTGACAATGTGCACGAAACATTCTGAAATTTTTATCATAGCCTCCACATACGATATCATGACATCTCAACAAGTTTTATGATTTTCGGACTTCGTTTGCTTTTTATAGAATTTAAAAACACTTCGCACGCAAGTTCGCGGTCATGTTTCGTGAACAAGATGTCCGAAATTTCGGGTCTGTTCCTGGATACGGCCTCACACTACACTCACTAACATGACTATCAATTTTTGAATCATTAAATTCCATCCGTTCAAATTTGTATTTTTCGAAAAAAATCAAGTAAACGAAATAAAGTAACTAAATATATAAAAAAGCCACAAAAAATCCCCAAATTCTAAATAGGAGTTCCTGGTACCTTAAAAGGGCTGTACAAAAAATTTGGAGGCAAAAAAAAAATCTTTGCCGAGTGCCGGGGGATGGCACTCGGCAAAGGGGGTCTTTGCCGAGTGCCAAGAATAGGCACTCGGCAAAGAGGGTTTTCAATTTTTTTTTAAAAAAATTTCCTCTTTGCCGAGTGCCTTCCCTGGGGCACTCGGCAAAGACATTTCGAAAAAAAAATTCTTTGCCGAGCGCCGTGTCAAAGGCACTTGGCAAAGTATTTTTCAAAAAAAAAAATCTTTGCCGAGTGCCAGATCTGGGACACTCGGCAAAGAATTCTTTTTAAAAAAAAACCCTTTGCCGAGTGCCAGATCGGGGGCACTCAACAAAGTATTTTCAAAAAAAAAATCTTTGCCGAGTGCCAGATCTGGGACACTCGGCAAAGAATTTTTTTTAAAAAAAAACCTTCTTTGCCGAGTGCCTAACAGCAGGCACTCGGCAAAGAAGGACGTGGCCGAACACCGTTACGCGGGGCAGCCTATGCCGAGTGTCGTGCTTTTACCGAGAGCCTGGCACTCGGCAAAGAAGTCCTTTGCCGAGAGCCTTTTTTTGCCGAGTGTCCGGCACTTGGCAAAGAACTCTTCGCCGAGTGCAATTCTTTGCCGAGTGCAACACTCGGCAAAGAAGGTCTTTGCCGAGTGCAACACTCGGCAAAGACCGCCCGATTTTTGACACTCGGCAAAGCATTTTGCACTCGGCAAAGATCCCGTTTCCAGTAGTGCCTTTTGTGTTATGCATATGCAAATTTGACATGTTTGATCATTTTTCCATTGACATATTGTTTGGTCACCACTGCCATTACTTAAAACTAATTTAGAAATACCATTTTACCCTTCTTTATAACCTACACAGGGCATTAATAATGTACCCCAAGTGCCACGACATAAAAGTTAATCTAAAAATAGGTTATTACATATTTCTCAATTACCTACAAATTCAATTAGTAACGAATACTAAGCCAACTATCTTCATTGCACTAATGCATTAAGAGTTTAAAGTTGACCTAAAAAGATTTATTCTTGCCATTCAAAAACTTTTTTATGTCAAATACACTAGAAAATAAAACATAGTTCAATATAACAGTTTAAAAGATAAAACATAGAAAAAACAATTTCTTGAGGTTGGCCAATTGATGGAATCTTTGCCTCGGAATAAAAGGTTATTCGAAGTTGAAATTCAAATTATCTTTTGATGTCAAATGTAATTGAAAAAGGACATTATTTCAAAGGCCAATATATTCAAATAAGCATAGAAAAAAATCACAAAATAACATTCCACAAGAGATAATGGCCAATTTATTCATACATAGAAAAAAATATAAAGCATCTCAACAAAAATAGGCAACATAACTTATTCTCCTGATGGGTAGTTATCAATTTGATGCAATCTACAATAACGAAGAGGGATGATTCACCCACTACGGGGAACGGGAGCTTTGTCGGGTGCCTACGGCACACGGCAAATAAACTAGAGAAAATTCCTTCATTGCCATTGTAAACTATAACCATCCCTTTGTTGCCATTCAAAATTACAAGTTCCCTTCGTTGCCATTAGATTTAGATTTTCCGGCACATGCCGTTACAGAAAAGTCACGGCGTGACTTTTATCAGCGCCATCACCGCCCTCTGCTTTGTCGCACGCCACGCCCGTCTCTCTCTCCACGGCGTTTTGCATTCGTCGCGGCACTCGGCACTGCGATCGATCTTGCTGCGTCGCGTTGCCTCAACGTGCCGGCGGCGGTGGTGCCCACCGCGACGGCGGCAAAACTAGGCAAACGTGGTTTTTGCGCGAAGAAATAAAAAACGCGGCGACGGTGATGATGGCGTTCCCGCGCGCGAGGAGCCCGGAGGTCGTGGCTACCATGGAGGGCCGCGGCGGCGAAGTGGCTACGTGCCGAGGAGATCCAGCAGATGGGCCGCCTCAACAACTTCGGCGCTCGAGGGAGCGGGTGAAGAGCTCTCACGTCGGCGCAGTGTGGCGCGATCTGGCGCGATCAACGAGGCCAAAGGCCAGCGCGCGCCGCGGCGAAGCTGCGTGAAGCTTCGATGCCCAAGAAGCGAACTTCGCGGCGCGCTTGCACGGCCACGAGCACGACAGTCGTGCCGCTGAGGGGAGAACGACATCGCCCGCGGAGCGAGAAGCAAGCCGCGGGGAGCAGGGGAGGAGGTCGGGACATCGTCATTTGCCGGCGTATGGGAGGGCGTGTGCGCGGACGCGGTGTCTGCGGCGCGCCAAGGTGCTGCTGCCGCCGCTGCTGCTGCCGCCATGCCGCCACGCGCGCACGCACCCTGTTCGAGGTGGAAGCGAGGTCCCTGCCGAAGCCGTGCAAGCTGGTGACCACGTGCCCGGCGGAGGAGCGGAGCGGCGACCACCGAAGCGAGAGGAGGAAAGAGGCAATGGGAGCAGAAGGCCTGAGCGGCGGAGGAATCTAAGGCGCAGGAGGCGGCGTGGCGTGGCCGTGCCGTGCCGCCCGTCGTCATCTGGTTGCCGTCGTAGGGTCGCAGTTTGTAGGTGGGTGGAACAACGATGGATGAGCGGAGAAAGAAATCTAGTAGGTAGCTGGAATATTTGTTTCGCGACGCCACGAGACGAGCAAGCAACAAAAGAAATGGGTGCGCGTGTGGATGGTTGATGCGGTGACAAGGATGGGCGGTGGACGGCACGACGCAAAGACCGCATGACCTTATCGTACTACTCTACATTTTTTCGCGAGGGCTCACCGCCATGGCCTTATCCCAACCGGTTCGGCTCGACCCAGCTGCGACTGGCCGGGGCTCCATGCCTTCCGGCCAGGCGGTGGTGAGCACTGCGTGCGGAAGGCGAGGCCATGCACACGTGAAGGCAGAGATCAATAAACACCCCGGAGAGGCGAAGGAAGGCGGCGGTGAGATCAATAAACAGCGGGTATGGGAGGCGAAGTCACGCCGTGGTAGCATGGCTCTATAACAACAATGGCAATAAGGGAACATGAAATCTAAAGCTGATGGCAACGAAGAGGCGTGTAATTTTGAATGGTAGCGAAGGGATGGTTATAGTTTTCAATGGCAACGAAGGAATTTTCTCAATAAACTAAAACACTCGGCAAAGGGCACATGGGAGTGTTTTTCGTCGGGCACTCGGCAAAGACGTTGCCCGAGTGACACTCGGCAAACATTTTTGCAAGAAATAAAAAACAAATTGCCACCGCCACCACGCCGCCATCGCGCCGCCACCACGGCCACCACGCCGGACGCGCGGCCGCGCGCCACGAACGCCACCAAGCCCCACGCCGGACGCCGCCCGCCACCACGCCACCCTCCCGCCACGCCGCACGCCACCCGCCGGATCCAGGAGAGGGAAGGGTCGGCCGTCGGGACGCCGTCGGATCCGGGAGGGGAGGGGCCACCGTCGGATCTAGGGAAGGAGGAGTGGAGGCGACGCTTGAGAAGAAGGGAGGGAGGCGGCCTGGGGAGGGAGGGTGGGAGGCGGCTGAATCCGGCCTGGAGGAAGGGTCAGCCGGCGAGAGAAGGGGGGGGCTGGGACACGGCGCTGAGAGAGGGGAGGCGGCGTCACGGACAGGGGGGGGAGGAGGAGGGAGGGGCGGGGGAGGGGGTGGCCGAGCCACCGGATCCGGCCGGGAGAGGGAGGGCCAGGGAAGAAGAAGGGGAGGGAGGTCCGGATCCCAGGCCGGGAGAGGGAGGGCCGGGGAAGAAGAAGGGGAGGGAGGGCCGGATCCAGGCGGGAGAGGGAGGGCAGGGAAGAAGAAGGGGAGGAGGCTGGGAAAGAAAGAAGGGAGGGGGAGGCCGTGGCGGGTGGAGAGGCTCAGGTCAGGGAGGGAGGGACGGGGAAGAAGAAGGGGAGGGAGGGCTGGATCCGGCCAGGGGAGGGAACGCAGGGAAGAAGAAAGGGAGGGAGGGCCGTGGGGCCGTGAGAGTGCGGTTGTTGCAGGGGAGGCTCGGGTCCGGGGACGGAGGGGCGCTAGGGGGAGAGAGGCGGGGTGCTCATGAGGGAGGGGCAGGGGGATAAGTCTGAGGATTTTTTCGTTTCTTTGAGTGTCCTGGATGGGCAATAAGCAACTTTTTTTTATTTTTTTTCTTCTCCTTCTATTTCAGAAAAAAGATTTTTTTCGTTTGCCGAGTGTCCTAGATCTGGGCACTCGGCAAACTTTTTATTTTTTATTTTTTTTCTTCTCCTTCTATTTCAGAAAAAAGATTTTATTTCTTTCGCCGAGTGTCCTAGATCTGGGCACTTGGCAAACTTTTTTTTATTTTTTTTCTTCTCCTTCTATTTCATAAAAAAGATTTTATTTCTTTCGCCGAGTGCAAAAAAGAAAACACTCGGCAAACCCCCTATTTGCCGAGTGTTTTTTTTACATACGGCAAACCCCCGTTTTGCCGAGTGTTTTTTTTTTGCGAATGTTTTCAGCGCAGCACTCGGCAAAGAACTTGTTCGCCGAGTGCCCGAATTAATACACTCAGCAAATATAAAAACACTCGGCAAATTTGACATTTCCGATAGTGACTTTTAGCCGAGACTACACATCTAAAGTGGATGGCTAACAAAGATACAATAGAACAGATAAGCAAATAAATCTATATCATTACTAGCATCCATGTAGACAAGTGGTCACTACTTGTATTAGGCTTACGAACTCCATATCAAGAATAAAGTAGAATGTAGAGTGGAGGTCGTTCATAGTGGAGTAATGACTATTTCTAGCAATAATAGACACAAGTTAAGGGATAGTTTGGTAGAGATTTGGCTCTAGCCAAAAATACCTCCACTGATACAACTCTTTTTGACAAAACAACTTGTTGTGGTTGTTAACAATATCTATAACAACCTTCTATCTTCTTTATTCATTCTTTGTTCTACTTTTTCCCTTACTTATTTCTCTTCTGTCTCCACCTTATTCATGCTGGCCTCCTTCCCTCCCCGCACCAGCCCGAGGGGCCTTCCTACACCAGTCTCTGTCCCTCCCTACTCCGGCCTCCACGCCCCTCCCTCGCGATTGCCCAGCCGCCCCTCCCAGCGTCCTCGAGCAAATCTAGTCACCGCTATGCACAGGGCCCACAGCAACAAGAGGGAGCTGGCAAAGCTTCTTTTTTTCCAGCTCCTCTCACATGCAGCTCCAACCACGGAGCTTCTCTACGGAAGCTATTTTAAATTTAATCTAGCGTTTGGTTGGGGAGCCAGTGAAGTGAAGTTATTCGTGAAGTTGACAGAGAAGCTCCACCAAAAAGGAAGACATTGATTTGAGTGCAAGATATAATGAGAGGGTGCATACGTATAGATAGTAGTTATCTGCTAATAATTAGCTCTTTTGGATCCAAACAGGTATAGATAATAGATTAGTTAATTGTTAGCTAGACCTTTAGGTAACAACTATCCCACTAGCTAGATCAAATTAGATAATGAGTTATTATCCAGCTAACTTTTATCTGATATTGAAACCAAACCGGGCCTAAGCCACCGTTATGCTAGTTACATTTTCAGCAACATATGACTGTTTTCAGAAAGTGCTAGTGCAAGGAGAAGATGCTACGTACGTACCTGAGTGTCGTAGCCCTGCGGCAACTGCGAGATGAAGCTGTGGGCGTCGGCCGCCATCGCCGCAGCTATGATCTCCTCCTCCGTGGCGTCCTCCTTGCCTAACAGTATGTTCTCCCTGATCGACGTCGCGAACAGTGCCGGCTCCTGGCTGACAAGCCCCATCTGCGCGCGTAGCCACTTGAGCCGCAGCCGCCGGACGTCGACGCCGTCCAGGGTCACCTCTCCGGCCGACGGGTCGTAGAAGCGCTCCAGGAGCGCGATCACCAGCGCCACCGAGCGCCCGGTCGGCACGTGCAGGCTGAAGTTGACGAAGATTGGGCTGTTGGGTCGCGACGGGTAGCAGAACTCCACGTTCCTGAACTCCACCTCGCCGGTGACGTTGTCCAGCACGTCGCCGGTGGCACTCTCCGAGTCTATCTTGGGCACTCGCCTGATCAGCTCCGTGATCCTCTCCGTCTCCACGCTTGCCTCCGACAAGTCCTTGATGTTCGACAGCGCCGACCCCAGCGCTCTGCACGGTTCAATTCGTTCGTTAATGGTGTTTTATCGAACAGAATTTACGGTGAATCACGCACAGACACAGTTGCAGTTAATTAGCTAGTAGTACTGTTACATACACGCCTCCGTTGTTGATGTTCATACTTGTAATCGTGACAGTATCATTGTACTCATGTAGGTGCATTAGATGTTTGTTACAATCATGTAATAGCATGTTTAGTTAGCGCGTAGAATTGTGGGCAGCGTAGAGATGTGCATGCGCTGCGTCATGACCGTGTGGCCTATCTCCGCCATGGCGCGCTCGCCGTGCATGTCGCGCGGGTGACCGAGTAAAACGGCACACCGTGCAGCAGCGAGTCATGGCGGGGAATGCGGATCAAGGCCAGTTAAGTATTGAATCAGTGCATCAACAGAAGCTGCGCATCGCAATGGAAAAAAGTGTGTCTTCTCACGTGTTCAGGTACAAGCTCTCGCGTTCCAGCTCCTGGTGACCACGCTCCGCAACGCCGGCGGCGGTGAGATCCTAGGTCCGGCGAGCCGCCGGTCCTAACACTGTGGTATCGGAGCCGAGTGGATGTTCTATAGTGGGTCAGTGAGCCCACCACGAGAGCCAGCGAGGAAGAAGCACATCATCCCGCGACGACAACCGCCATCCGCCATGAGTGACTCGCCGGCGAGCTCGAGTTCGGCGGGTGTGAAGGAGAACTCGTTGATGTGGCCCATGTTGACGCGATCGAACTACACCCAGTGGGCCATGTTGATGCAGTGCAACTACGAAGCCATGGAGATTTGGTACGTGATCGAGCCAGGCACCAATCCTAAGCGCGCCCATGATCGCCAGGCTCTGAGCGCACTCATGCGCTCGGTCCCGGAAGACATGTGGCAGACGCTGGGGGCGCCAGACGATGAAGGAGGCATGGGAGGTGGTGAAGACCATGCGTCTTGGTGTGGATCGAGTGAAGGACGTCAACGCCCAGAAGCTGATGCAGGAGTTTGAGAACATCAAATTCAAAGAGGGCGAGTCGATCGACGACTTCGGCATGCGCATCAACAACCTCGTCGGCAACCTCCACGTGCTGGGCGAGACGATGGAGGACACCCGCGTCGTCAAGAAATTCTTACGGGTGGTACCTTCTCATTTTGCCAGTGTTGTTGTCTCGATCGAAATGTTCTGTGATATGAAGGCGCTCACCGTGGAGGAGTTGGTCGGCTGGCTGCGTGCGGCGGAGGAGCGGCTCAATGACGGAGTCGAACAGGTGACTGACAAAGCCGGTAGATTGCTATTGGCAGAGGAGGATTGGCTGGAGAGAAACAAACACCGGCTTCGCGGTGCGCCAAACAAGGAAGGCGCCGGAGGCAGCGGTGGTGACCAGACCAAGAACAAGGCGCCGGCGGCGTGCTCTCAGGGTGGCAACAATGGCGGTGTCAAGCTCACCTCCATGGGCACACCGCGGCGCAAAGGTCGTTGCCACAACTGTGGCATCTACGGCCACTGGGCCGAGGACTGCAAGCGGCCAAAAAAGGAGAAAAAGAAGGAGGCACAGCAACCAGAGGCGAACGTGGCGGTTGCTGGCCATGAACAAGGCGCTCTGATGCTGGCCACGTGCGACGTCGTGCACGCGCCGCACCAGATCGTCTACATGACGGAGAACGTGATCCCGGTGGAGGTCCCTGACGACGTGTGGGTGCTCGACACCGGCGCAAGCAACCACATGACGGGCACACGGTCGGCGCTGTCACAGCTCGACGCAAGTGTCCGCGGCTCAGTGCACTTTGGTGACGGGTCTCGCGTCGAGATCCAAGGTGTGGGCTCCGTGGTGATCCAGGACCGTCAACACGGTCATAAGGTATTGACTGACGTCTACTACATTCCTCAGTTGAAAAGTAATATAATCAGCCTGGGTCAGTTAGAAGAGAAGGGGTTCAAGTATTTGGGAGAGAATGGGAGGCTGCGAGTGTTCGATCAGGCACAAACTCTGTTAATCTCTGCACCTAGAAGTGGCAATAGACTGTACCTTGCTAAGTTGAGTCTAGTTCCCCCAGTGTGTTTGCTAGCACAAACTGATGATGCATCTTGGCTGTGGCATGCTAGATATGGGCACCTAAATTTCAGAGCCTTGAGTGATCTTAGTGCAAAGCAAATGGTAGAAGGGTTGCCAACTGTTACAAGGGTAGAGAAAATTTGTAATGGTTGTGTTCTTGGCAAACAACATAGAGCTCCTTTTCCCAAAGTGTCAAGCTTCAGAGCAGGAAAATGCCTAGAACTTGTTCATGCTGATTTGTGTGGTCATATCACTCCAAAAACAGTGGGGGTGCTTCCTATTTCCTGTTGGTAGTGGATGATCATAGCAGATACATGTGGGTAGAAATGCTCAAGTCAAAAGATCAGGCTCTTGACTGTTTCAAGAAGATAAAAATGAGAGCTGAAAATGAGACTGATGCCAAGTTAAAGGCTCTGAGGACAGATAGGGGTGGTGAGTTCACTTCCAATATGTTCTCAGTTTTCTGTAGTGAAGGTGGAATCAAACATTACACCACCACTCCTTATTCTCCTCAGCAGAATGGGGTGGTAGAGAGAAGAAACCAAACTGTCATAGAAATGGCTAGGTGTATGTTGAAAACCATGCAGGTTCCATCTGAGCTGTGGGGTGAGGCAGTGTGTACTGCAGTTTATATATTGAACAGGTCACCTACAAAAAGCCTGAACAATATAACACCCTTTGAGGCATGGCATGGCAAGAAACCCAGGGTGAATCATCTCAGGACCTTTGGCTGTCTGGCTCATGTGAAAATTGTTGGTTCAGGTGTAAACAAGCTCTCTGACAGATCAAGAAAAATGGCCTTCATAGGATATGAATCTGGTACAAAGGGTTACAGATTTTTTGATCCTGCTACCAAGAAACTGGTTGTCAGCAGAGATGTGATTTTTGATGAAAAGCATCCTTTTGATTGGGCCAATGTAGTAAACAGTGAGCACCAGTCGACAGACACCTTTGTTGTCAATTATGAGTCGACTGATGAAAATCCGACAACAGCTGGAAATGTAGTAGAGCAAGCTGCAGAGAATCAAGGGGGTGGGGCTGTTGAGCCAGATGGTGATATGCAACCTGGGTTTGCAACACCAAGTCCCCAGAATGCTCCAGGATCAGATCAAGGGCCAGCTGCACAATGGGCAACACCACCTAGTGCACACTCTGAAGAGACATTTGGAGGACCTCTAAGATTCAGAACACTTGATGACTTGTTTGGGTCCACTGATGAGATTCAAGATTATGAATACAGTGGTGTATGTTTCCTTGCAGCAGATGAGCCATCTGGAGTGGAACAAGCACTAGAGGAGAAATGCTGGTTAGAAGCAATGAATAGTGAGCTGAAATCAATCAAAGAAAATGACACTTGGTATTATGCTGATTTACCAAAGGGTCACAAGGCAATTGGCTTGAAGTGGGTTTTTAAGGTGAAAAGAGATCCAGAGGGGAATATAATAAAATATAAAGCAAGGCCTGTAGCAAAGGGATATGCTCAAAAGTATGGAGTGGATTATGAGGAGGTATTTGCTCCTGTAGCTAGGCTGGAAACAGTGAAGCTGATACTAGCACTAGCAGCCCAAGGGAAGTGGCAAGTGCATCATATGGATGTCAAATCTGCTTTCTTGAATGGTGAATTACAGGAGGAAGTATATGTTCATCTTGACCTCCAGGTTTTCAAAATCCAAAATTCCCAGGGAAGGTCTGAAGCTGAAAAAAGGCTCTGTATGGCACAAACAAGCACCCAGAGCATGGAATGCAAAATTAGATCATGAACTTGTCAAAGTGGGGTTTCAGAAGTGAAGAAGAATATGCAGTCTACATAAAAGAGGCGGTGGGCAGCTCACTGCTCTTGCTTGGAGTGTATGTAGATGATCTTGTCATCTGTGGGCCACGACAGTGAAAAAATCTCAGAGTTCAAGCAGCGAGATGAGCAGAACTTTCAGTATGAGTGACTTGGGATTGTTGAGTTACTACTTGGGAATGGAAGTCAAGCGAAAAACTGGTGAAATCACTATTTGCCCGAGAGCATATCTTTGAGAAAATTGTAGAGCAATGTGGCATGACTGGTTGTAATCCAAGTAGACACCCCCATGGATCGTAATATGCAAACTCCTACAGCGGACTGATATGGCAAGAGACATAACCAGGTTCGAAGCATAGTTGGTAGTCCGAGGTATTTGGTGAATACTAGACCTAACATAGCCTATTACGTGGGCATGGTTAGTAGATTCATGGAGTCCCCTACCAATGAACATTGGGCTGCTATAAAGAGGATTGTCGGATACATAGCGGGAACTTCGAATATGGATGCAAGTACACGAACAAACCCTCTCGAAAAAGCAAAGCTGTTGGGTTACTCGACGGTGATGATCATGCAGGTGACACGGAGAAGAGAAAGAGCACATATGGAGTTGTGTTCTTCACGAATGGCAATGTGGTGACATGGACTTCACGAAACAATGAGTTGTGTCCTTGTGTCCATTTGTGAAATTTGAGTATATTGCAGCAAACATTAGCAGCTTGCCAAGGGGTGTGGTTGAGTAGGCTCATTGTAGATCCGATTGGTCAAAAGCTGCAGAAATTCGGGCTTCTAATGGACAGCAAGTCGGCACTCGAGCTGTGCAAAAATCCAGTGTATCATGAAAGAACCAAACACATAGACACTCGATACCATTACATAAGAGAGTGTGT